TTCCTGAGGTATAGAACTCCCTAAGGCCACCCAATGGATGGTGTAGCAGGAAATGTGCACTCTATGATCTTAACTGCACACTTATCCTTCCCAAGTATCATGTGAATCCTGTTACTTCTCTCCAGTGGTAGTCAAGATAGAAAGCAAAGCCATGGAAACTGGTGAAACCACTCTAGAAAACAGTATGGAGGTCCCTCAGAAAGTTAAGATGGAACCACCTCATGACCCAGCAGTTGCACCACATGCTATTTAGCCAAAGGATACAGATTCAAAGGGGTATATGCACCCCGATGTTTATGGCAGCATTATCAACAACGGTCAAACTATAGAAAGAGTCTAAAAGTCCATCGTGGCATATACACACTCACACACACACATATAATGAAATATTACTTGGCCAACGAAAAGAATGAAATCTTACATTTGCAATGACATGGATGGAGCTAGAGTGCATTATGCTAAGCAAAATAAGCCAGTCAGAGGAAGACAAATACCGTATTATTTCACTCATATGTGGAATTTAAGAAACAAAACAGATGAATGTATGGGAAGGGAAAAAGAGAGACAGAGGAAGAAAAGCAAATCATAAGAGACTCTTAATGACAGAGAACCAAACAATGGTTGATAGAGGGAGGTGGGCAGAGGACGGACTAGATGCGTGATGGGCATTAAGGAGGGCACTTGTCACGATGAGCACTGGGTGTTGTATGCAAGTGATGATAGACTAAATTCTATTCCTGAAACCAATATTATACCTCATGTTAACTAACTAAAATTTAAATAAAAATTGGAAGAAAAAAAAGATACAAAGCAAACTCACGATCCTACCTTGGGTAAAAGAAAAAGGGATGCTGCCTCTAAGACCCTGGTACAATCCTGAGAGGAGAACCTTTGCTTGACAATTAAAAAAGAAAAGAACTGTAAATAGCTTTAAAAATTGAGGAACCAAAGTTCATAAAAATTTATTTGAGCATGAAACTGCTCTAGATGAATCCGATGTCCATAGGAGTTCTAAAATTTCACACGTTCTAAAATTTTATCATTGAAAATAAAGTTCTGTTAAAGATAACTTATGTGAAAAACAAAATGAATATACTTCTCAAGGAATTATTATTATTATTATTATTATTATTCTTTGAGAGAGAGAGAAAGAGGAAGAACACGAGCAGGGGAAAGGGGCAGAAGGAGAGAGAGAGAATCTCAAGCACACTCTGCACTCAGTACAAAGCCCAATGCCGGATATAGTCCCACGAACCTGGCATCACGACCTGAGCTGAAATCAAGAGCTGGACACTCAACCAACTAAGCCACCAGGTGCCAAAAGTGAGAGAATCTTAAGTAGGCTCCAAGCTCAGCATGCTGGCCAACCAGGCACTCGATTCCATGACTCTGAGATCATGACCCGAGCTGAAATCAGGAGTCAGACGCGAAGCGAACTGAGCACCCAGGCGCCCCTCCCTCAAGGAATTATTTTTAAACACAGGCCCTGACAGTAATTTAGTCAGTGATCATTATTCTTGGGCAGGGGAGAGGTAACCCTTTATTTTTAAAAAACACTCAAGCAAGATACTGGAGACATAGCACCAAAATAGGGTGCTTCTGAAGAAGCAGGCTCAACTCCTGGCACGAGCAAATAGCCACTGTGTAATTCTGGGCCTCAGTTTACTCATCTGTAAAATGAGAGCACTAAACCTAATGGCTAAGCCTGAAACTGTATGCTTCTATAATTTACCTTTTCCTGTAGTTTTCATAGAGGGGCCCATCCTCCCTGATGGAAATATATGAGGTTCATTTGTGGAAAAGGCGTGTTTCTGGAAAATTTACCATAACACAAAATTTAAAGACTATTAGTTTGCCATTGTAAAACCACTGAGTCACTCCCACCACAAACTCATTTGCACTTACTCAATGAAATCATCCTTATGAATACAACAAAATGTTTAGTCACACTGAAAGGCAAAATAATAATCTGAGTAAGCAGTGATTCTATAAAATATCGCACGACTTTGCGGCTCTTTAGCCATTCCAATAAATGGAGAAAGGAGGACAACCACAATTTATTACTTGACAAAAGGAGGCACTCCATGCAGTTGCCCCTAAGCTTGGCACGTCTGAAGTCAGGACAGTGTCACAGTAACAGAAAAACTGATTACTTGCCTCACCATAAAAAGACACATAATTACAAATTACACCACACTGTTCTCAGCAGTCCAATTTTTTAAAGCAGACACCTATACACTTCTCTCATTTTTTCCCCTCAGAGTAACAAGACATGACAGGTAGTTCTGCTGTGAGCTACAAATGCAATTACTAGGACTCTATATTTACAAACTAATATGTTTTAAACATGTGATGAGGTTTTGTTTCAAAGCTTTAGATAGAGGAGCAACGCTGGCTTCCACAATGTTCTGAATTTTCACCCACCTAGAGAGGTTCTATATCTTTATAGGTGTTTTCCCTCATGTTTTCTGGGCTTTAAACAAAAACATTCAAACTAAGGAAGAAAAAAAGCAGAAGGGGGAGCCTCTAAGATGTTATCTCCAGAAGAGCTCTGGAAACATGTGGTTACAGATTATAAGGTGGGTGGGTACTCATTTAAAATAATGAGGGCTAATGGTGATAAACAACCTACAGACAAGCCTTGGAGAAGATTCCAGACCTGACATCACCAACACCGACAAGAGAGCTTATGGTTGGAAAGGATGCTGGGGGTGAGAAGTTAACTGTAACAATTTACAAATGGAAGCCCTACACCATAATTACAAACATCTCAGGCTCACAAGCCATACGAATTACCAAAATGTTAAGTTAAAAAAATCTGTATAGAAAATGTTCAGCTAAAAGATAAACCTCGAGATCAGTGGTTTGACATTCATATGAGCAACACAGTCTTATAGCGGTAACCTCTGAAGTTAAACCCAGTGATATGCCATCCTGGGTCCCTGTGAAGAAAATAAATCTAACATAGAAAACCAAGAATCATACAAGGTCAGAGCACCATCAACTTGCAAACGTCTCTGAGGGTAATGTCAAGAGAGCTGCTGGCCGTAACTGGAGTTGGCCTGGCATAGTTGGAAGTGCAAAGGTTGGCAGCCACACAGACCAAGGTCTACTTATGAACCTACTAAGACTAGCTGTGCAGTCATGAGCAAACTGCTCATCTCTTCTGAGCCCCTGCTTCTTCAGTTGGGAAAAAAAGAGGCAATAATAACCAGACCCTGGAGGCTGCTATGAAGATCAGAAAATGTCAAGTCACACAGGAGAAGATAAATAAGTGATAAGGTATCAGCTTACTATCCTCCATACTTTTGCTGCCTCTGGAAGCTGGCTGGCCGAGTCCAGTGTCGTGAAAGCTAGCAGGCCAAGCGGCATGCCACCTTTGGTGGCCTTTTCTGCCAGAAAGAAAATCAGTGTTACACAAGAGAAACATTAAATGGACTTAGAACCTGGAGTCATTCCAACTATAAAACTAGACTCTAAACTCCAGAACTCCAGGAGTCAAAGATTTTTAAACTAGAAGAGCCCTTGGAGGTCAAATACTAAGAAAAAAGTTGAGGCGTAGGCAGTGAGGTGCTAATCAAGCACTTGAAAGTAAGAAAGAGAGAGAGAGAAAGAAAGGAGAAAGAGAAAGAAAAAGAAAAGAGAGGAGAGAGAGAGAGAGAGAGAGAGAGAGAGAGAGAGAGAGAGAGGGAAAGAAAGAAAGAGAAAGAAAAGAAAAGAAAAGAAAAGAAAAGAAAAGAAAAGAAAAGAGAAAAGAAAAGAAAGAAGGAAAGAGAAAATAATCACATTCTTCTAGGAAATTTTTGGAAGGATAAGGGAAGACAAGAGCTATTTTCAAGAAGATTAGGATGACTTCACACAGTTTAGTGATAAGCAGTGAACAGAACCCAGAACTTTTAGAGGTGTGCTTGAATATATCTTTTCTATACATATTTGTTCCATAACAGATTTCTTTATACTTAGTTCTCTCAAAGTACATCAACTGAAACAGAACACATGTCAGCATACTATGCCAACACAATGCAATAACTCCCAAATTTTTACCACAGACATCAGAAACACAAAAGCACATTACCTCATTACAAAAAATAAATAAATAAAGCTGAAACACTAGCAGTGGCTGGTTTCAAAATTAAAATTTAAAGGGTACAATTGTTTAATTGAAACTGCTAAATCTCCCCAGTGGTTAAACCCTCATCTTTTTTCCCTCATAAAATTCACTACTTCTAAAGTATCTACAGAGTAAAAAGGAACATCATGTTTCAACAAGGTACCTTTTTAAAATCCCCGTAAAATGCTCCAGAAGCAAGCCTAACCTGTTTGCTGATGGCCAAGCGTGTACCACCGCCGACTCCGCCATTGTATGCTCGCTGGGTCTGGGCCTCCTGCCACAGAATTATTTAATTTGCAATATACTGTGATTGACCCAATGTTATCTAAATTTGAATAAGCCCTCCTATTTGTACTAGACTAAAGTGTACTGCTACTGCTACATTGTTGATGATATCTTGAATACAACCCAGTTTAAAGTCCCTAAACAACATACAGGTTCTAGAGAACACTGGGTTCTTTCATGGTGTTCTCTAGGAAATGGTTGTGTCTTTAAACTCAACAAGCACATGTTCATGATAAATACTATCCCAATGACTTTTCTAGGGTTTTCTGTAATTAGCCCCAACCATCAGGTCAGTCTCCAATCACAGAAGTCTACAGTCTGATCAAAAACAAAAATCTAGAACTAAATTTGAAAGATGCTTCTGGCTGAACCAATTTGAAGGAAAGGTCTGTCTTGTCCAATTGCACCGACATACACCGAACACCAAATCCTAGTCAAAGCTTACGAAGGGTCCGTTTCTTTTCCGACAGGATTCCATATGTTTAGGCAAGCAATCTCTTTTTATCCCTCTCTCACTCTTCTTTTTATAACAAAAGTGACCCATGTGTATTCGTTTCTTAGAAACTGAAATACAGATTCCGGTAGCAGAGGCGGGAAACGGACTACTGGATTCTGCCGAGGGGAATCCTGCGGGAATCTGAGTCATCAGAACCACCACCATGACTGTGGGCAAGAGCAGCAAGATGCTGCAGCACATCGGCAACAAGATGAGATGCATCCTGCAAGACGGCCGCATCTTCACTGGCACCTTCAAGGCTTTGGACAAGCACATGAACTTGATCCTCTGTGACTGTGATGAGTTCAGGAAGATCAAGCCAAAGAACTCCAAGCAAGCGGAAAGAGAAGAGAAGCGAGTCCTCAGTCTAGTGCTGCTTCAGGGGAAGAACCTGGTCTCCAGGACTGTAGACCGACCTCCTCCCAAAGATACTGGCATTGTCCGAGTGCCACTTGCTGGAGTTGCCAGGGGCCCAGGGATTGGCAGAGCAATCCCATCCAGTGTCCCAGTGCCCCAGGCTCCTGCGGGACTTGCTGGGCTGGTCCGAGGGGTTAGTGGGCCATCGCAACAGGTGATGACCCCGCAAGGGAGAGGCGCGGTGGCTGCCGCCACCGCCACCACAGCCAGTACTGCAGGGGCCCCAACCCAGGGGTAAACACCCGGCCGTGGGGGTGTTTCCCCACCCATGGGCCAAGGGGCACCCCCTCCAGGGATGATGGGCCCCCAGATGGGGATCCCTCCTGGACGGGGAACTCCAATGCGCATGCACACTCCGGGGATACAGCCCCCTCCCCCGGGGATGGGAGGCCTTCTTTGACCCTTGGCCACCCGCAGTAGCTCCAGAGACGTGGCCTGATTACCACTGACCTGTTTGTTTGTTATGCCACTGTTCTCAGAGTCTCACAAGATTGTCTGGTTTCCCTTTCAGGGCCCCCTCCCCCGGGGAATGTGCCCACCAAGGCCCTAGGCTCATCTTGGCCCTTCTCAGCTCCCTGCCCATTTCCCGTAAGGCTGTACATAGTCCTTTACTTCTTTGTGGCCTATGAGACTAGTTTATAATAAACTCTTAAGAATATTAAAAGAAAAACTGAAATACAGAGAAAACCATTCACAATATCAATACCCAGCAATAACCATGGTCCTATTTCATGGATGTCCTAATAGATTTTTTTCTACGTATGGTAAATATTTTTACAAATGTGAAATCACATCGTTCTGAACATGTTTAGCTATTGGCACCTAAGATTCTTCATTTACAAAATAAAATAAAAATTTCTCTGAAAATATATTTTAATAAAAGTACAAATACAGTAAAATCTTGGACTGCAAGTAACCTGTTCTGCAAGACAAGCAAACATTTCTAAGAAATTTTAACCTGATAAATGAGCAACGTCTTGCAATATGAGTAGTATGTGATGGCCAAGGTCACCTGATCACAACTGAGCCAATGGTTCTTAAAATTTGCTTTGATATATGAGTGCCTTGGATTACAAGCATGTTTCCAGGATAAATTATGCTTTCAAACCAAGGTTTTACTATATTACCATCTCATATTATCTCGATGCTATTATTGGCAAGCCGTACACCATGGGATGAGAAACTCTTTGTTAGTGAATGCCACTATGCCAAAAGGAAAATTAATTAGGGATTTTCCTTTAAAAGGAGATACTGTGTCACCCATTTAACATTAGCTACTTATGTGCAAGGCAGTGTGCTAGGATGGTGAGGCTTCTGTGTCCAAAAATATGCTCACAGTTCTTTTTTTTTCTTTTTCTAAATTAAAATCCATCACTCCATTCTCCACTTACTATCACTATATACTGTTGCAACACCCAATTAAATTTAACCTTTAAAACATGCATTATTGTATTCTGAAAGCAATCAAAGCAGCAATGTATATTTGAAGATAATGTTCTTTATACTGCAGAAATGAGGCCAAAACAGTTTATTATATCACTTCAGTCAGATTTTGCTCCAGAGAGATTTTCCTGACCTTCCACGTTTTAGGCACTGCTAGAATCCAACGAGATGTCACAACAGACAGCCCTCTAACACCAGGTACAACATCTCTACTACACTTTTAGGCAGGAGAAATCAGGTCCATGTTATCTAGAGCCTTCCTTGGTGTCTCAAACACAAGACTCTCTTTTCCGGTGGAAAGATTCCAAAACCTGCTTCCCTGCAGCCTTATAGTCCCGAAGAAGGTATCTGCTACAACCCACCATACTCACGCTTAAAAATAAATTTTAATTACTGCACAGAAAAGTTATCACCTTGTAAAGTCATTATGTATGTAAAATACTTGAATATCCTAGTATATAATCTTCCTAACAATACAGAAAGGCTAGAGAAAATGCCAACTTCAAATCTTAAAATAATGAAAACTTTTTGCTAGAAGAGATATAGAGAAGAATGTTTAATTCATTTTATGATCACCTACTCTACTGGATTAAAACCTCTACCGCAGACCCTTTTGGAATTTTCCTATTAAAGGCTTTCAAAGGTATATTGCCATTGCTAAGAAAATGAAAAGACACAAAATAGACTGGAAGAAAATACTTGCAAAACACAGAAGATAAAGGAATTGTACCTACAACACAGAAATAACTCTCAAAATTCAGTAAGAAAATAAACCGGATTTTTAAGTGGGCAAAAAAATTTAAACAGACACTTCACCAAGGATTACGCGAATGGCAGAAAGCACATAAAAAGATGTTCAGCATTAGCCAGCAGGGAAATGCAAAGTAAATCACAAGATACCACACCACGCAGCTATCAGGATGGCTAAAGTATGAAAGAAAAAATAGCTGAAAATATCAAGTACTGACAAGGATATGGATCAACAGGAACTGTCATATACTGCTAGTAGGAATGCAAAATGGTACCACCAGTTTGGAAAACAGTTTGGCAGATTCTTTGGGGTTTTTGTTGTTGTTGTTAAGTTTATTCATTTATTTTGAGAGAGAGAGAGAGAGAGAGCACACAACAAGCAGGGGGAGGGGCAGAGAGAGACAGGATAAAGAGAATTCCATTCAGGCTCCATGCTCTCAGCTGGGAGCCCAACATGGGATTTGAACTCACAAATTGTGAGATCATGACTTGAGCCAAAACCAAGAGCCAGACACTTAACCAACTGAGCCACCCAGTCCCCCTGGTAGATTCTTATAAACATGTGCTTATGATCATATGACTCAGCAATGCTAGGAATCTAAATAAGTGTCAAAAACCAAAAGAACCCAAATAACCTTCACTTGGTGAATGGATAAAGCTCTGGTGTATCTGTACAATGGAATAATACCCAGCAACAAAAAGGAAACTACTAATACAAGCAGGAGCATGGATGAATTTCAAATACCTTATGCAAAGTCAAAGCCTGACTCAAAAGACTACACACTGTATTCCATTTATTTTTTTTTCATGTTTATTTACTTTTGAGAGAGATAGACATGGAGCACAAGCAGGGGAGCACAGAGAGAGAGAGGGAGACACAGAATCCAAACCAGGCTTCAGGCTCTGAGCTGTCAGCACAGAGCCAGATGCGGGGCTCAAACTCACGAACCGTGACATCCATGCCCTGAGCCGAAGTTGGACGCTAAACGGACTGAGGTGCCCCTGTATTCCATCTATACGGCATACCAGAAATGGCAAGCTTTTAGAGACAGAAAACTGATCAGTGGTGGCCAACATCTGGGGAGGGAGTCGGGGATGGAGTGGGAGACAGGATGGCTACAACAGGGCACAGGAGAATTTTTTGGTGTGATGGAAATATTCTATATTTTGATTCTCATGGTGGTTATATGATTGTATTTATCAAAACTCTCAGTACTGTCCATTAAAAAGTGAGTTCTAACATATGTAAATTAAACCTCAACAGCCGTACCTGACTGTTATAAATAAGAGCATATAGATTACCTCCTCACGTTTCTCCCACAGGAAAAAATAATCCTATGGCGAAGAGGTCCTCTTTCCCAGCTTTACCCAAACCAAACGATGTTGTTACACACAGTGCTGGCTTCCGAGTCAGGAAACACAGTTTTGTTTTGTTGTTTTTTTATTTGTTTTGTTTTTCCAACCTCTGCTATCTACTCGCAGCAGGACGTCGGACCAAACCTCTTTATTCTCACTTTCCTAAAGCTATTAGGTTTGTACCTGTGTGCTGGGCACTGGGTACATAAAGACAAGTAAGACAGCATTTACTCGAAGAACATTCTGAGGCAGTAGAAAGGCAATAATAAACGATAAGTAAATATTGTGATGTGTGTGGCACAGCCAGGGAAGATGATTAACCAAACTTGGAACTGGAGAAAGGCTTCCAAAGGCAAGGCTGTTGTGCCAAGGTGTAAAGGACAGATATTACTTTATGGAGAGCTGCTATTTCAATCTGTGCTCTCACTCATGAGGTTGGCACTATTTCTCAGCCGAGATGCAATTGGCATGTTGAGCAGGATAATTCTTCATTATTCAAGACAACCTTGCTCACTATAGGGCACTTGGCACCCCTGTTCCCCCGGCACACTAATTAGTGCAACTAAAAACATTCCCCAAACACTTCCAACCTTCCCATAGCAAGCTGCTAGTGCAGAGAGGGAGATGAAATGTAGTTAGCAGGTGGCAAATGGCATTTTAAAAAGTATGTAATAAATACCTAATATCAAATTAAGCATATCACATAGAAAAAGAACCAGTACTGTCTCACAATTATTTAGATTTTGCATATATACAGTATATATGATTTTTCTTGATGTAAGATATAGTCCTCACTGGACTCGTGGGGGAAAAAAATTTGAAAGACTCTGAACCAGATAACTTGTTTGTTTGGGTGGGCATACCTTCCAGACACAGGGACTGTCACTTGTGAAAGCATAGTCTAATGAGATAAAATCAGAGTGGTCAAAGAGAGAAATCTATCCAGGAACTCGAACATTACAAGCAATATGGCTACAGGTGGCGAGAGAAGCTACCAAGATCAGCAGGAAGTGCATCCCCAAGAGCCTTGATGTGACCTCCAGAAATCGGAGCTGCCAAAGGAAATTTAAGCATGTCAAGTTCACCGTAGAAAGATAATTTTGGCAGCCATACATTACAATGGCAGGAAAGCAGGGAAAGAAGAAATGAAGTCCTTCTGGAACACAGCTTCCCTGACTATAAAATATTTTGTACTTGCTAGTTCTCAGGTCTTTTCCAAATCTATCATTATGACTCCTACTTTGGCATTCCTTATTCTGCACATTCCATGCATAATCAGTAGAAAATAAGCAACTCTTAGATTTGTGTTTTTCCTATATTCACAGGCACATTTGCTTGTGTTAGCAAGTGTCTGATGAGCACAGACTTTTAAAACATACCCCCTTCAGAATCATAAGGGTTCCGCAATTAAGAAAGACGCATGACTTCATTTCCAAAGGTAATATTTTAAGCTGTAATTGTTTATGCTCTCAATGAAGCAATACGGCCTAGGAGACATTTAAGGGTGTGTTCTTCAAGGAGATGCTAACCCAACGAGTTAGAAAAGGGAGAGAACAAAACACTGGTGTGAAAATACCATACCACAACGAAAGGCAGGTGTGGCTTAAATTATACATCCTTAAAGGGGTAACTTTAAAAAATAAAAGTAGTTACGCTAATCCAGTATTTTCTAATATTGAAACAAGTTCCACTTGTTTGTGGAGGGTTTTTTTGATGTCTTTTTAAACAGAGCCTGGTTTTCAAGTGTGCGACATGCTCTAAAGAGAAAAATATAAAATGCTTGAAATCTGGAGTAATGTTTACCCAACGGCAAAGAAAAAATAAATTCCAAAGAGAAAAAGAGCATTACTTTCCTTTCTATCTTACGTTC